CACATCCCGGCGCTGCCCGCCCGGCGCTGCCCGCGGCTCCGGCGGTCCCGCGGCGGCGGAATCGGTGGCGGCGGCGATAGAGGAGCGGGGGGCGGGAGCGGGGCGGGGCGGCTCGGGAACGCCCCCGGGATGGGCCGGTCCCCCCCCCAACCCCCCACCCCGCAACCCTTCCCGGAGGGTGCGGGGATCCCCCGAGCCGGGAGGGGGTGATGCCCCGGAACCGACCCGGGGAGCCCGGCGCTGCCCTGCGCTGCCCTGCGCTGCCCCTGGGAGCGTGCCCGTCCCCGTGTCGTGGACCATTTGTGTCCCTTTGCCGTGTCCCCGTGACGTGTGTCCATGGCATCTCCCGGTGCCGCGTCCCCATGCCGTGCCCCTGTGTGTCCCCATGCCATGTCCCCATACCACCTCCCCGTGCTGTGTCCCCATGCTGGGTCCCCATGCCCAGTCCTCATGCTGTGTCTCCGTGCCATGCCCCTGCGCCGTGTCCCCATGCCATGTCCCTGTGTCCCCATATCACATACCCATACCGTGTCCCTGTCCCACGACCCTGTACTGCATCCCCACACCATGACCCCACACCATGGCCCTGTACTGTGTCTGCATGCCACGTCTCCATGCCTTGTCCCTGTGCCCTCTACTGTGTCTTCGTGCCACGTCCCTGTTCCATGTCACTGCACTGTGTCCCCGTGCCATGTCTTCATGCCATGTCCCCTCGCCATGACACCGTACTGTGTTCCCATGCCATGTTCCTGTGCTGTGCCACTGTGCCATGTCCCCATGCCATGCCCCCACATCACATTCTGGTAGTGTGCCACTGTGCCATGTCCCCATGCCATATCCCTGTGCCACATCCCCTTGCCATGTCCCCATACTGTGCCCCCATGCCATGTCCCCACACCCACCTTTCCCAGCTCACACTGATCTTTCTGCCCGGTGGCTGCAGAGGGGATTATTTTTGACAACGCAAACCAGCACAGGCACGGGGTGAGCAACATTTTTGGGGGCAGTGCTGCATCCCCGGCACATTCTCGATGCAACCCCTGCAAAAAGTCGGAGGGAACAGCAGGGATAGCAACAAAAAGTCGGTTTGCACGGAGCAGCCTCGCACCATCTCTGCGAACAGCTCGCAACTAACGGGGACTTCAGCTCGTGTGGGGGCAGAACAGCTCATTTTGGGGCAGGTGAAGGCCGGGGTTCCCGTGTTTTTGAGGCCGGGACTCGCTGGGAACGCAGCCGCAGAGCCCCGCTGCCAGCTCCTTGCATAACGCTGCGTCTGCGCCCAGCATCCCGCGGGGGAAGCTGGGGAACAGGAGGCAAAAGGCAGCGGGGGCAGCGCAGCCCCCAGGAGCTTATTTTGGGCGCTGCGGGGATGGCTGCGTTCCCTACAGCCCCCATCGCAGGACCCGCACGGGGTTTGGGTGGAAAAAACGGCTTTTTGGTGCTGCACGGGGTAAGAAAAGAATCCCCTCCTGCGTCTGTGGCGCCGGGGGAGAGCCTGGGCTCAGCCGGTGCTGCCGAGCGCGCCGCGGGGTGATGGATTGATGGCAGCGGGAGAAGGGAAGGAGACGCGCCGCCGTCCCTGCGGATTTTTTGCTATTTCTGCTTCTTTTCCGCCTCCTCCCGCAGCGGGAGCGCACCGCCACCTGCAGCCCGGCTGGATGCGGCCCTGCCTTTGGGTTTTCACCGCGTCCCGCTCCAACCTCAGTCTCCTCAAAGAGGAAGCGGAGAGCCCCCGGCCTCACTTCGCGCTTCTGGGGTGGATGCTGCTTCTTGCAGCTCGCGGAATGCAGCGGGAGCAAAGGAAGGCAGCGCCCTCAGGGTCGCAGGGACGGAACAAGCCAGGACAAACACGCTTTTCAATCAGTTTTATTACAAGCTGTGCCATACCCCAGCCCAAACCCCACTGCAGAAATCAACCAGAGTGCTGCCGTGTCCCGATTCCCGCATTCTGGCGTGACACAATCACGTGTGGCCAAAGTGCAGTCCCTGGCAGAGCTGGCAGGAGGGGACGATGGAAACGCTGCTCCTTGCCTGTATTCACCATTTATCACAAAACCACTGGCATGAAGCAGAAGCTCTTCTGACCCCCTGCTCAGCCAGCTGGAGGAGCTGCTGGGAGGCAGCACTGCGCAGCCTCAGGACTCCTCATGTCTTATAACAGTTTTTTAATCACCAGGGTATTGCAGAAACAAACTGATTTTGCCTCCAGGAGCACCACGTGAACCCTGAGCACCTGCAATCGTTTTCAAGCCCAGCTCCCCTCCAGCTCCCTCCCCCTTCCGCAGTCCTTTCATCCCCAGCAATCCAACCACCCCAGCGGCAAGAGGGGCAGGCTGCAAGCAAACCCTCACTGAGAGGGAGCCCTCCAAAGAAACCCCCCTCCCCCCCGAGCCACAGCGCTTTAGCTGTTGTACAGGGGAACCACCCTGCTGATGGCCTGTCTGCACATGGGGCACCTTTTGGGCTCTGGAAGGGCTCGGTAGCACTCAGTGCAGGAGCAGACATGCCCACACTCCAGGAAGACGCAGGATTTGGCACTGCTCAGGCAGATGACACAGGCATTTTTCAGCGTCTCTCCCCCCTCGGCGTTCACTTCGCGCATCAGCCGCTCCTGCGCTTGCCTGAATTCCTCCTGCATCTGCTTGAGGTGCCGCCTCTCCCGGTGGTGCCTGTACTGCTTCCTCAGGAGGTAGAAGAGAACGGCACACGTGCTGAAACCAAAAAGGATGGTCAGGATCTTCCAAAGCTTGGCACTCGATTCCTGTTTCTTCAGCAAAGCGTCGAAATCGGCGCTGGTCAGGTAGTAGCGCAAACCCTGCTTGGGTGGCTGCAGCTTGATGGTGTTGTTGTCCAGCACCAGCTCCCCAACGCCAGTCAGCGCCGCTCCCACCTTCAGCATCTGCTCTGTCTCCTGAATGCCTTTCGGGCGCTCCCCGCTGATGTAGTGCCCGATGACATCAGGGAAGGATTGCACCGAGGGGTGGAATTTCTCGTGCACCGTCTCCAGGCTGAGCTCGGCGGCCTCCAGAGGTTTCATCACCCTCACGGAGACGCCGGTGCCATCGTCCAGCGGGGCCAGGTCGAAGGCAGTGGTGTTGGTTCTCTGGTGGATGATCTTCTCGTAGTCATTCCTAGGGATAAAACAAGCGTTAGTGCTTCCACGCTGGCAATCCAGGCTGGGTTGGGGGGGGCCTGATCTACCCAGGAGCTTGATAATCTTTAAGGTTCCCTCTAATTTAAGCCATCTTGTGATACTACAAAAAGCCAAGCAGCAGGGAAACACCACAGCTGTCAGCACAGCAGTATTTGTCACGCTGCCTGTTGTCCTCATGGTGTCCCCCATGCAAAACCTTCTGCTGTCACAGGGAAAGCTCTCGGGGCAGCCAAACCCAACCAGTGCTCATCACCTTCACAGCTGTGATGAGTTGCAGTGTGGTGAGAAGAGTTTCCTTTTGGTAGAGCTTTGTTGGGCTGCTCAGTGCAGCGCAAGGATGCTTGAGTCAGCTGCTCAAGGCGGCCTCCAGGTTCCATATGTGTGGGGCTGTGGGCAAAGCTCTGAGCTGCCAGAGCTCAAGGAGTGCACAACACTGCTCTCAGACGTAGGGTTCAGATTTGGGGCGCTCCTGTGTGGAGCCAAGGGCTGGATTTGGGGGTTCTTCTGGGTCCCTTCCATCTTAGGATGTCCCATGGTTCTGTGGGTACGTACCAGAGGTGAGTCGTTCGGTTCCACACCATCTTGTGCTCCTGCAGGGTCAGCCTCTGCACGACGCCCTTGCAGTTCTCCACAAACTGGCTGCTCAAGGTGTCCTTGACAGTGCGCACCACGCCTGGAACACGTGGAGTGCTTGAGCTGTGCTGCAGGTCTCTCTTTTTTATGGGGTTACAGACCCAAAACTCAGCCCCACAGGGCACTGGGATATGTTTAGCTCAAATTCCAGTCTTTCACTCCCAAGGTTTTGGAAGGAGACAGGCTAGATCCTAGCCCAAATGTGTCTTGTGGAGTTGGTGGAGGCCTTATCTCAAATCTCAGCCCCACTGTACTTTTTTAGGGGGAGAAATAGCCCAAATACCACCCTCACGGGGCTTTTTTTGGTGGGGAAGTAGCTCAAATCACAGCCTTGTTGGGCTTTTGAGGGGCCAGAGTAACCCAAATTCCAACTCTACAGGGCCTTCGGGGTGGGTTTAGCCTAAATTCCATAATCCCATCCCCAAGAATTTTAGAAGGGAACAGGCTAAATCCCAGCACCTTGGCATCTTTAGGGAGGGATCAGCCCCAACCCCAGCCACGTAGGGCCTTTGGGGTACATTTAACCCAAATCCCAGTCTTTCACCCCATGGTTTTGCAGGAAGCAAGCATATATCTAAGCTCCATAGATTTGTTTTTAGGGGTGCTAGCCCAAACCCCAGCAGTGCATATAGAAGGAATTAGCCCTAGCCTAAGTCAGAGCCACAGACCCCTCTGTTAGGGCTGGCATTTGCCCCTCTGAAATTTAGAAGGAATCAGACCACATCTGTCCCCTCCCTGGGTGCCGTTTTTGGGGGCATTTCACCCCAACCCCATCTCTGTGGGGATGTTAAGGAGGAGCCCGGATCCCCCTCCCCACTGCTGCAGGGCAGTG